CCCACCCCCCCAAAAAAAGAAAGAAAATAAGTTGCAAGTTTAGAGCTCTACAATTGGGATTTGTGGGCTCCTGAAACAGTAATATTATTAAAATACACTCACAAGCACTCCAAGTTCCTAAAGTAATATCAAGCATAAAAGTCACTCATAGTCTTTCCTCTCAAGCAGATCTTTATCCTGAACAGTTATACTTATGATCTTTTAATCGGTTCCCACTAGGAATTGTCCTTGCTATGTTACCAGCTTTTCCAGTCTCTTTTATACACTTAGCTTGAAGGATATGTTTATTGAATATAGACCCCATGTTATATATCACACGAGACCTTAAACATTATTACTACTGTCCTCAGCAGTGTTCAGTTCTTTAGAACAGCTAAGTCATCCAAATGGGTTATATTAGTCATACCTTACTGTGTAACAAATTACACCCTAAATCATCACTGTAAAATATTCATTATATTCCAGCTGTTGTGGGATGGGAACCGGGACACAGCTTCATGGGTTCTCCTGCGGCTGCAGTCCAGGTGTCAGCCAGGGTTGCGGTGCCTGAAGTCTTTAAGGGAGCTGGAGGATCTGCTCCCCGTGTATCTCAGGATGTTGTCAGATCGAGCTTCCTTGCTGGCCACTGACTGGATACCTCAGTCCCTTAACATACGGACTCCTCTGTAGAGAGCTGGCTTTACCTAGAGGGTGTGCTCATTCTTACAGTAGTATACTAGTACTTCTGCAGTATAATGAAGTAGAGTACACATGCTCCTTGACTTAAGATGGAATTAAAACCCAATAAACCCTTGGTAAGTTGAAAATATTGCTAAGCAAAAGGTTCATGTAATGTCTCCAACTCTACCAAACACCATAGCTTAGCCTACCCTACCTTAAACGCACTCAAAACATTAAACAATAGCAAACAGTTGGGCAAAATTATCGAGCAAAGCCTATTTTATAGTGTTGAATGTTTCATTTAATTAATTAACACCTGCATCCAAAAAGCTCTAGCAGGATAGCCCACTGTAGAGTACCACCTGCTTACCTCCGAGATCCCGTGGCTGGCTGGGAGCTGTGGCTTCTGCACAGACCAGCATCAGGAGAGGATGTCGCATTGTATAGTACAGCCTGGGAGAAGATCAAAATTCAAAATTCTACTAGATGTGTATTACTTTCACACCATGATAAAGTTGAAAAGTCAAAAGCCATAGAATCCTGAATCTACCCATTGGTAAGCCAGGACCATCTGCCTCCAGTTTAATATTCATCACATGACTTTTTGTTTTTAGGCTGTGTTTTGCTTGTGATCTTTTTTTTGCGGGGGGCGGGGTACTGGGGATCAAACTCGGGTCCTTGCACTTCCAAGCCAGGCAACACCACCACTGAGTTAAATCCCTGGCAGTCAGGGACCATCTGTAGTGACCATTCTGTATGTGAGGAAAGGGAGTTGCCACAGGTGTGAATACCGGGACGTGGGAACCACCGGAGGCTGCCTCCGTGGCTAGCGGCCACAGGTTCTTCTGAAGATTCCTGTTGTAAATGGTACCACTACCATCAACCAGTGTCTCTTTACAGAAACTTTGGAATCACATTAGAAGCACCCTCCTTATTTGCAGAATCTACCATCTTAATATCCTTTGAACCTTTGTTCTTCTTATTGTTATTGCTTTAGTTCTGATGCTTAGCATCCATTGGAAAAGGCATTTTCCGTGACTCTCGTTTTATTTTTCTTTTCTGTACACGGACTCATGTAGACTTACCAATTTGGGAGTTAACTTTAATTTTAGCAGTCTGTTGGTTTAGTCTACCATAGCAACAACAACAACAACAACAAACATAGACTGAAAGGTTTGAACAACAGAGATTTATTTTCTCATGATTCTGAAGACTAGGAGTTCATGATTAGGGTGCTGCATGGTCAAGACCTGCTAAAGCTCTCTTTCTGGCTGTGGGTGGCCACCATCTTGCTGTGCCGTCTTTGTGTAGACAGAGCTCCAGTGCGTCTTTATAAAGGTGCTCATCCCATCATGAGGGTCCTCACCTGAACCCAGTTATCTCCCAAAGCCCAATCCCAGTAGGGTTATGGCCTCAACACATAATCTGGGATTGGGGGAAGGCACACAGTTTAGCTCATAGCTGGCCCTTTCAAGTGGTTTGGCCTAACCCCAAATTAGTACACGTTCATACAGTGAATCAAAAATAATATAAAAAAGATGAAAATAAAACCATCCGCAAGTCCACAACACGGAGATAAATAGCAATTACATTTTAATGTATTTTAATGAAAATGCATATACTGTTCCAAAGACTGGGCTTTTACCTACAGTTAATAGTGTGTTGTGTTTTTTTATGTAGTGCTAATGGTGGGGGGATTTCCCATGTCAATGAATGACTGTTGAAAACATTTTAAGTGACGGTGACATATTTCATTTATATAACCATTTTTCTTTTGGTTGGGCACAAGAATGGTTTTTGATTTTTCAGGAAATATTGTTGAGCTTATGGTTTTGTCTGCATTTCTATTCATTTACTGTAGATTCCTTGAAATAGAATCATGAGGTCAAAAGCCGTGAACTTTTTCAACATTAGCATTTTAAAATTTCCTACTTGATTTACATTATTGCAACAGCTTTTTAAAAATTTGCCAATTTGTATCTGACCACTGTTTTTCCAGAAATAATCTGATAGACAAAATAATGTCTAATTGCTAGTGGTGACCTTCTCTCTGATCTCCTGCCTGCAGTGATATCCCACTCCAATCAAGCCTCTGCAGTGCTTCTAGATTTTTCTCCAAAATTTAAACTTGATCATATATCCTGCCTTCTGAAACCAAACATTTGTTCCCTAGAGCTTAGCGCATCAATCTCTAGGTCTAGTAAATGTTTCATCAAGTCTTGTATTACCTGGCTTTTGCATATAGTTTCAGGCTCATTTTTAATCACTGTACTATAGTCTCCTCTCTGGTAACATGAAATCACTTACAGTTTCTAATAAGCCTGTTTCATGCTTTCTTTTCTGTGAGCCTTCATCTGTGTCTTGAATGCTTTTTCCCAGTCACAAAGTCTGTTTAAGAAGAAGATAGGTGCTGTTCTCTTCCTGCAGGTGGGGGTGGTGCTGTGATCAGCATCGTACTGGGTGTCCTGACTCTGTCCCCATGGAGATGTGTTCTAGCCCTCCTGTGGCAGCCATACTTCTGTTGTCTCTTAAAAACCTCATAACGCACGACATCTTTTCTGACAGTAATTCTTTCTAAACAGCTTTCATACAATTTTTGTGTGTATTGTGTGCTGCCCTGCATAACGTCAAGCAGTATCTTTCAGTGACCACTTTCCTGATTGTGGCTTCTTATTCTTCAAGGCACCTAGAACCTCTATAAAACTTGCATTTTAATGTCTGGCATGGTGCTGTCACTGTTATGGCAGATTTAGTACGAGAGTATCAGTTGCATACCTGCTATTAAGCATTGCATGTCAAAAGTGCTTTTGAGGTCATAAAATAAATTTTCAACACAAAATAACAGTAGAAAGAATAATATAAACATATGTTATAGAATATTATTAACTCAGGATTGAATGGCAAAGTGTAATAACCAGGGGCCTACATTCTTTGGCTGAGAGTATCGGGTGTAACCCACTGTATTACTTATTAGCTCTATGCCTACAAAAACACTCAAGATGTAGGAAAATTTTATTTATTTAAAGTATGCCTTAATAAATTATTATTATATGTACATACATATATTTAAAGAGACTGTTACAGAGACAAATACTTCTTTAAAAATCAGCACTGAATGAAGCCTTGTTCAACATGGTATGTTTAATATAAACCAAGTCCTATTTGTGACTAGAACTGTTCAAGTGCTATCCCTTGCAGAAAATCTTTGGTGATATTTCCCTGCCTCTCTGCCTTCATTTATTTATTTATTTTATTGACCGGTTTATCGCTTAATTGTTTACAATACCAGAGATTGAGCTAAGGACTATTCTCTGAGCTACACTGCCAGCCCTTAATTTTGTTTTTTAAATTTTGGGACATAGAGTCTTTCTAAATAGTGAAGTTGCCCAGGCTAGACTTCAACTTGCAATTCTCCTGCCTCAGCTTCCCAGAGTGCTGGGATTGCCGTTATTCACTGCCATGCCTGGCTCTGCCTCCTTTTATGATTAATGTATATTAAATGATTTTGACTTCTAAAAGGTTGCAGCGAACCTATGATAACCTCCAAATATGATCACCTTGTCCAAACTTTGCTTGACTCAAGGAATCAGAGTTGTGTGGTATTGAAGAAGTAATTTTGTCCAACTATTCATACAATGGAAAAAGTGACAGAAGGTCCTAAGTATGCTAGGTTGGCTTTCCTTGTTAGAAAAGTTATCTCTCCTGTTGTATAGAACATTTCCTTCTGTTATACTAAGCCCTTTTTGATAGAGTTTTACCTCCACAGAATGAATCCACCTCTTTTGTCACGAAATAGACACTGACACATTTGAGCCCAGCGGCACATCTTGTCTTCTCTTTTTCAGACTAAACGTCTCCAGTGCCTTAGACCAGTGCAGTGTGCCTTGTGCATGGTTCCGTGGCTAGGAGAGAAGAGGCCGGTGTAGAGAATCCCAAAATTAGAACAGGATGGGAGAATACCATCCCTTTTCAATTCACTTTCCTATTTAGGGTAGCCTGAGTTTATTTGTCAGCTGAATGTGTGGATTAGTCAGGATTCCTTTGGCTGCAAGTAATAAAAATCGAATTCACACCACTTTAAACAAGAAAAGGCTTACATACCCGGCAAATCAAAAGCGTAGCTTCAGGCAAAACGGGAATCCAGATGGTGGTGGCAGGTGAGTTGCATTCTTCTTTTTCTCTCCGAATTCCTGGGCGGGCAACTTAGCCAGCCACCCCATCCTTGTATCAGGACAGCTCCTGATTGTGGAGAAAGAATTACATCTTTTTTTTTTTCTTTTTTTAACCGCTCTGACAAAACATCAGAGAAAATTGGCTCTGCTCGGGTCACGTGCCCTCCTTGAGCCAATCACTGCTGCCGAGTAGTGCGGCGTGCGTCGGTCAAGTTTGCTTTCTCTGACCACCTGCTCCCTGCTCCAGCGTCAGCAGGAACGTGTGGTCAGCCCCCTTGGGGCTGCTCGGATTGAGAAAGACTGCTGCTGGGTAGGGTCACGGTTTATTCGGTATGAGGTGGTCGAGGAAGACAAGCGTGCGTCTACCAAGGTACTTAACAGACCGTTTCTAGGAAGGTTATGGCTCCAAGATGCGGAAGTGCCACGGGAGAACAAAAGCAGAAGCAGTGGTCAGATGCAATACCTCTTCATAATATGCAGGCCATTTTCAACTAAGAGTTGCCCTAATGGTACCTTACACAATATTACAACTCAACCTATATTTTTACTGGAAAGCTGTCTACAAGGTACTTAGGTCAGTAATTTTAAAAGTCATTTTCCTCAGGCACATAATATATTGGTTTATGGTCATAATGCTCTTTTGTTTACATATTTGAGTTGCATACTTCATTGTTTGAAGCCCAGGTCTTTCATTTTGTTCAATTTCTAAATCTGTTCTGATTTGAAAGATTCTCTGTTGTGAGCCCCTTCTTTATGATATTTTAAAAAACACGCGGAAAAATGGAGACTGAGCTAGATTAATGTTGTACAGATCTGATTAACATCATCTGCTCTGTTTCAAAGGTCAGGTGCACTCAATGAATTTGCTTTGAAATTATTTTGTTTATTTTGTGGGCATATACATCATGAGCTTTCTAAAGGTCAAACATAGAGTTTATTCTTGGATTCTAAAGCAATCTGATTTCCATTTACAGTATGCTTTGGCGACCCTAATGCAGAAGCAGGCCCAGTTAAGTCATACTTTCAGTTTGTTTTTAGTTTAATTTTCTCGTGAAGAAAATCCTTGCTAGATTAAGGCAGTGCTGAAATACCATTTTCCATAAGTAACTTTTATTCTCAACTATGTTCATAAGCAAATGCTACTCATAAGTGACATTTGAACCTTGAATGTTGGTTTCATGCCTATTTTGTTTTCAAATGTGGGGAAGCATCTTACTCAGCTAATTTCTTGCCTGGAAACTGGAGTAAAGGTCAAAGGATTCCTGTTTTTTTATTAACATTTATGTGGTGAGGGTCCTGAAGGTTTATTAATTAATGTTTGCAAAATCACTGTGTGCTTCATAGAGAAGATGCTAATAAATGATCATCTTCTTTACAATTAAAAAAGTCAAGGGATTTACTTATATACACAAAGTGTGTTTTCATTATTTTTAATAGTTTTTCCTCCTTACCATATGTACTTTTCCAAGATAAAAAGAAAATCTCTCTGAGTATTCTATATTCATGTTCATTAACATTCCAGTGGAATAATAAACCTCAAAACGATTCATGTATGAATCAGTGAGGCATGGCTAATTACAGTTTTCAACCACATAGCCAATAACATTCACCATGAAATGTGGTGTCTGTTAAACACATCTCTTTGAATTTTTGTTGGGGGAGAGTCGAAGGCAACAGGGAGGTTGCAAATTGCAATTTTAAAATGTCCAAATATTTGAGGGACTTGTACGTTATAAATATCATTCAGGCAAGTATTTATCACAATTGTGACATACTGTAATCAAAACAGAAAAACTCTACAGATTTGCCTTAAAAGCACAACAAATAAAGCAAAACAAAAACCATAACTTCTGAGAATAGGCCATGCTATATAAGGAAACAGAAGACAATGTGTGCGTTAGGAAATAGGAAATGCCACAAATTTTCAAAATATATATTTTATATTTAACTTTAGAAATGCATTCCCTATTCTTTACAAATTCATCTTTATGCTGACTTTCTCTCATTCACAAACATATTTACAATCTGAAAAGCAGAGGACATAGTAAAAATTGAATGCATGACTGAAACACTTAACTTTAGAAATATTTGTATAATTCATATTCAGAATCTTTTCTAATACCTTATTTGGTTGAAAATATTTTCCCTTAATACTATCCATATTGTTGAATATCCAGATATCAATAAAAATATTGATATCTATATTTAAAATTTTTAACTTGTGTTATTTCAGTAACAAATAATGCATAGTAAAAAGTTGTTTAGAAGTTTAAAATGGTATAAAGTAGAATAAAAGATACTCCTGCCATCTGTGCTGTCTCACTCTCCTAACCACTTGTACAATTACTTGGGGAGCTCCAGAAAGTTTTTCATACTTGTTGAACTACCTGTCTGCAATCCTTTATCTATAAACCTGAAATCCAACAATCTCTATAAAGAAAAAGATTGGCCTGATATGAGGCTACTGTTTTGTTTTTTTTTTTTGGTACCGGGGATAGAACTCTGGTCCTTGTGCTTGCAAGGCAGGGCACCAAACCGCTGAGCTAAATGCCGGGCCCTTTTCTTTACATACTTTTTTTTTTTTTTTGTACTGGGGATCGAACTTTGATCCTTGAGCTTATGAGGCAGGCAACAGAATCACTGAGCTAAATCCCCAGCCCGATATGAGGCTACTGAAGAGTCTGTTTATCATGAAGGTTTTGTTGTGTAGTAATATGTTTCATAGTAGCATGCTGACTATAGATGTTATTTGCATATAGGTTTCTAAAAATAATAGGTATTTCCAAAATACCTATTCCCCAAATTTTAGATGTTATTATGGACATCAATAATTATATGTGTGTGTGTGCGTGCATGTACATGTGCAATACACTATCCTTTTGTTTACACAAATGATCACTCTATATTTACTGTCTGGTAACTGCATTTGTGGAGTTATTTAATGTTTCTCTTGAGACCTAACCATTACCGACAAGGTCCCCCATTCCCTCTTCCTTAGCTTCTTAGGCCTCTTTGCTCTTCTCCCAGCATGCTCGGCTTGTTTGCGTCTTAAGGACTTTTTTTTATTGCTCCTTCTGTCTGGAACATTCTTCCACAGATTTCCTCTTACTTCAGTAAGTTTCACCTCTTCTAGCAGGCCTCTGTTCGAGAGACACTTCTTCACGGAGGCCTTCTTTGATTTCCCTATCTGAACAAAGACCGTTTATCATTTTCTAGCCGCTTGTTCTGCTGTTGTCCCCCAGCAGTTATCAATACCTATGATACGTGTATATATTGTTATATTTGTGAGTGGTTTATCTTCTCTACTAAAATACTCATGAGGGTTGGGATTTTTACTTCTTCATAACTGTATCGTCAGCATCTAAAACAATGCCAACCATTTAACAGGTCCTAAGAAATGTTTCTTAAATTATTATTTTTTACCTCCAAATTAAGCAATTTACTTTACAGTTACAAGGTTCCCATCGGGTTGTATTGCAAACTAAGGAGTGTGCCTATGAAACTGTCTTGACCAGCCCCTTGGAGCTATTTCACCACTGCCTTACTTGTAGACTCATGAATCAGTCCCCCGTGAGCTCTGCGTCTTGCGTGTATTATTGCCTCTGTCGGAACACCCTTCCTCCTGCAGGTAGCAGAATCACCTCATATGTGGTATCACACTGATTTGCTCACCTGTTTACATGCTTATCGTGCTGCTGGATTCAGTGCAGAACAGCACTAGAGACTACATCTTATTTATTGGTGCATCCCAAGCCTAGCACAGTGAGTGGAGCAGAATAACTCTCAGTGTAAGCAAAACGGAACAGAATTAAAATTGCATACCATTCTGCAGTAAGTCCTCTCCTAAAGAAACTTTTAAAATCTTTTTTATGAAATGCTTTTAATGGGTTTTATCTTCTAGAATGATGAAATGTCTTTAAAGCTGCAGCAAAGCCAGCGCAGTGTGTTTAGAGGCATAATTTCTTGAAAGAGAGTGATGAGAAATCATAGCTTATGTCTGAGCCTCCCTAGTGAGATCACAGCTTGGACACTGAGCTTAGTTTTATGCACCTTATGTTCTAGGTAACTGGGAGATGATTGCAAAAGATGGCAATAAGAAGGATTAAGTGTGATTATTTATGAGGCATAGTTAAAAGGAGACAGCATGCATATGTTCACTAACTATGGGGAATAGACTGATCTCTAACTATCTGATGAACACATCTACACAAGGAATACATTTAACCCAGAACAATAATGGGATAAATAAGATGAGAGAATTTTTAAAAAGAGAAGGGAAACTTTTGAAAATTTTGAGCATATCATAAGGTGGCTCTTATTCTTATTAGCAAGTAGAATTCTCCAACCACAGCCAAAGCTAAGTGATTTCAGGCTGAGAAATTTGTGAAGGAGATTGAGTATGTGGCTATACCCTAGACCTCAACTTTTCTATATTTTGTATTAGAACAATGCATTTCTTTTTTTATGCAACATTTTCATACTAGATGTTTTCCAGAGAAGTCCCCGCAAAATTCTCGTCTGAGAATCTAGTTTATGGCCTACACATATACCTAAGACAAATTGTACAGAGGATTGAACTCTTTTGCCTAAGGCCTTTCCAGTTTTGAAATTGTCTCCACAGTAAAGATTTTCAGGTAGGTTCTACAGGCTTTAAGAGCATGACATTGGGAATGTTTTACTAAAATAGAACAGTATGTGACTACCAGATTTTCCAAACATAAGCGTGGTCCTATACTTTGTGATAATGGGAAGTATTTGCTTTGTTATCTTGGCCTCTTTGACGTATTTACCTGTTGCAAATAGTACAAATGTCGGGTTTTCTCTTACTCTTTCTGCTGTGTTCACAATATAGTTATTCATTGACACAGATTTACTGAGTGCCTACTATTCAGTAAAGTAAAAACAAAGTCCTTGACTTCATGGAACTTACATTTTATTTGGACGAGCAAGACAATGAATGGAAAGACAAATAAATGATGACTTTAATTTCCAATAAAGCTATTTGTTATGAGGAACTGCTACAGTGACAGCATGTATAGAAGCATGACAAATTTGGTTTCGAGGTCTAAAGATTTTCTAGATCTTTATATTACTTTCTCAAAAAAAAAAAATCCAAGCCCTTTATTTATTTATTTATTTGCTACTGGCGATCAAACTCGGGTCCTTGCACTTGCAAGGAAGGTGGTTGAACCACTGAGCTAAATTCCCAGCCCCCAAGCCCTTTAGATTTCTTTAAAATCATGAAATAAAAAAGATTGCCTTTAGAATTATTTTAATTTCCCTTTTCTTGGACCTGGGATTTGGCTCAGTGGTCCTGCTGCCTGCCTTGCAAGCATAAGGGCCTGAGTGCGATCCCTAGTAGCAAAACAAACAAACAAAAATTCCCCTTTCTTCTTGGTTTTCTGCTGTGCTAACCTACTCAAGTCCCCTACATGTCCGTAAGCCCCGAGGGAGTTCCTTTTTCCCAGTGTGAATCTTTTGTTATTTGCTTTGTGTGTCTTACAGAAAATTTCAAAGTATAGTCTTTCCTAACTGTTCACATACTGATGACACAGGAGGTAGGCAGCATGGATTTTTTTTTTTTTTTTTTTTTTGGTAAGTGTCTAGTTAATTTTTGCATTATTGTGCTATTCTCAGTGACATGGACTTGTGGTAAACCATAGCCATCTGCAGCAAATACATTTGGTTTTTTTTTTTTTTTTTTTTTGGTAAGTGTCTAGTTAATTTTTGCATTATTGTGCTATTCTCAGTGACATGGACTTGTGGTAAACCATAGCCATCTGCAGCAAATACAATTGGTACTAGTACCCTCAATTCCCTTACAATTTCATTGCTTAACTTCCAATGGGAGTTACTCTAATTCTAGCTTTCTATGACCCCTGAGGCAACAGTCTACTCAGGCAGCATGCCAGATTACTCAGGGCCTCTGAAGGCAGCCCTCATTGACTGAGGGAAGTTAGGATTTAAACAATCCAGTTCTCTTGTCTCCTTGGCGGGTAATTTAGTTCCAGCTGAAGGCAGGCGTTTTACAATGCTTCCCAGAGATCCCCAAGAGGGTTGAGATACAGTTGCCCCTTCTAGTAACATGTTGGATGGGCCACTTTTTAATGTCTGTCTTCCCTTCCCTATTTCCCTACTTTTGTATTGTCTTAGTGGTATTTCCTGCAATTAACTCTGACATACACTACTTGCACTTGAGTATCTGTGTGAGGACTTGCTTTTGGGAAAACCTAAACTAAGTGACTGTTCAATCCAGTTGTAGATTACGTGGTAACCTCTCCATTGATTGTCTTAGAACTTGGAGGTGCTGGGACCAAGGCAAACGCCACATCTGAAGCAAAATCTATATGTTCACATTACGCTGTGTGACAATGTTATAATAATCACTTGATATCACTATTTTGATCCAAAATATGTTCATGATATTTTCCTTTTGACTATTAAGTTAAAGATGTAATGATTATAGGCTGATACTTCCTCAGGAAGGGAGTCTAGTTGTTGAGTTTTCCAGTTTCATATGGCTTAGTGATTTTCTTCTGCATATAGACTGGCCTCTGACACACGTTGAGATTTCTCATGCCAAGCAGCTTGAGAAAAGCTAGGACTGCTAAGTCTGTGCTCATAAAAGCTGTTGTATTATAGGAAAGAACCCCAAACTGACAGAAGATTATGTTAGGAAGTCTGAAGGGGGGCTTTCATCCCCATGCACAAAGTTAGTCTCTATACATACTGATCACATTCCTGCTGTTTTCACAGTAATTGTTTTCAATTTTACCTTGTAATTTATAATACTCTAACATGTTACTTGCCCATAGTGTCGGTGATAGAGGCATAATCTCACTATAATTAATCCAGCGTGACATTCTCTGAGAATCAAGCCTTCAAGAATATCAATATTTCACACCAGTATGCTTTGTAGGACATCTTGCTATTCTCCCTGGAGTTAAAACTCCAGAAAGGATAAGAGATATAAGAATTGCTATAATCTGCTACCTGCATGTAATGTATCAGGCCAAAGAAAAAAGTAAGAAGGGGCAGGGGAGGATATTGTGCTATTGTACTAGGGAAACTAAGGACATACCTCAGTGCTTGTCAGTGTTGCTCTTTAAAAATACATAAGATGAACAGTAAATATTTCTCTTTCCTTGGATTTAGGATTGGAATGAAAGGTAGGGTTGTGTGTGTGTGTGTGTGTGTGTGTGTGTGTGTGTGTGTATAGCATCTTTAAAAGAACCTGCATAGTGTAATGGTCAGTCTCAAGACCAGGATTCCAGTCCCTGCATAATGCTGTAGCAATTACTTTGCTGTTCTGCAACCTGCAACTACATACTGCAAAAGTAAGTTTATTTCTCATACATCTTTAGACCCAGAACATGTTGAAGTAGGAACTGGGTCTGAATCAATGCTTACTCCAGTAGCCACATGACATCTGGTACAAGCTATATTGACAAAATGATTTTGAAAAGAGCAAGCACAAGAGACCCACCGTGATCAAAGTTTAATGGATCTGCACCCCAGGAAGTGAGGACTGAGGAGAAAAGTCATGTCTAGATTTCATTGTTATTCAAAACATATGTATTATGTGCCAGGCACTTCTATAGGTGCTGAAAATACTGCCTGGATCTTGGATTATAGGGGACAAGACAGTAACGTAGATGAGTAAGTAAACTTTACAGAGCACTTGACAGTGACACGTGCCAAATAGAAAAGTAGCATAGAAGTGGGGTAAGAGGGGGAAGATTGTGGCTATTTTGTTAGGCTAATGGAGAGGACCAAAAATATTCGTAAACTGGATCAAAGAAGGGACCCCGCGTCCTGGAAGAAATTTAAAGAAGATAAGGTTTATGGAATTAAAAAAAAAAATCCAGAGTGGGGGCAAAAGGAAATCCAGCCAGTGCGGAGTCGGGTGGGGCAAATTAAGCGTGTTTTAGGAAGAAACGGAAGCAAAAGTGTAAGGCAGGCTTCCATTTCATGTGAAAATAATCATGTTTCTTTTTCTACCAGGAAAGCATAGAAAGGTTGTACAAGTATGACAAAAGCCCCGCCCCAAAGAAATCCTCAGCTCTTGTGCTTGAGAAGGATCAGGGTTCCTATGACTCTGCCTTCCAGTTGGTCAAGTGTATGTGCGTAGCCTTTGCCCATTGGTCCCCACTCCTGTCTCCAGACGAGCGGCCATCTTGGAGCCCGCCCCCATCGCGGGGCCGTCTGGGAAGTGTAGTCCGAGTCCCGCTCCGTCCCGCTGAGGTACTTGCCCTTGGTTCCCAGGTCCCTCAGGAGGCGCTCCCTCCCCGCACTCCTTCCCTCTGCCTTTCCTTTCCCGCTGCCAAGATCTTGGAAGGTAGGGGCGGAGGGCAAGTCCCAGTGGAACCGTGTCCGGGCGCGTCAGGGTCGTGCGCGCGGCACAAACTTACCAGACCCGCGTCTGGGGTCCTGGTCGGGCGTGCGGCCGGACGGGCCAGAGCAAAACGCGGCGCAGGGCAGGCACCACTTTGTGAGAATTTCACATTTGAGAAAGATGGAGCATGGGATGCATTATGCCGAGAGGTCTGCAGCGCTGGCGCCTCACGGCCGCTCCACGGTGCTCGGAGTCGGCGTCGTTGTGCACACAGGCGGGCAGGGAGTGGGCGAGCTGCACGTGCAGCCTCCCCGGGCTCAGCGCCCGCCTCTGCACATCGCCAGAGGCCATGCTTGAGAGTGTGACATTTGCACATTAGCTGGGAAGCCTGAGGTGGATTTAGAAAGGCTCTGACCCCGCCCCCCCGGCACTGCGCGGACACCAGCGGTTGAGCTGAGTGCGTCTGTGAAGGGTCGCTTCGGCGCCATTTTACCGTCCGCGGCCTGGGCAGCGGAGGCTTCTGGGAGTTGGAGTCCCGCCTCTTGAGTCCCAGCGGTCTGGTACTTCACCTCCCGGCGTGCCCTTTGGCTCGGGAGAAGTCTCGCGGTAATTAAGGTCTCGCTTCAGCCTCGGAGCTCTGGTGTGCCCTGCTTTTTTTTTTTTTTTTAACTTTTTCATCGTCCGCCTGCTCTGAGGTGGGACTAGAGAGAAATGTTTACTTAGGATTTTTTATTGTTTTTGAAATGCTCACTGAAGATTCTTTTGGTTGCCACCGATTTCATGTGCCGTTCTAAGGATTAATATAGAATTGCTGCACAAGATGTTCCAAATATTAGGTAGTGTACGTACTTTTTAAACAGCTAACACTCAATTTTCAGAGCATTTCATGGTCTCTTTTTAATACTACTGTCCTATTTGTAGATGAGAAGCTGGAGAATGATAGTTTGTGCATGGCAACACAGCTACTATGTTTTAGAAAATATGTAATCATAGGTAAAACACATGAAATACACATATGTTCCAGTAAATAGATTTTTTAAATTATACATTACATTTAGTCATTTTAATTTGGTCTTTCAAAAGGTACTTGAAAGGGATAGCCATTTTCTTTGTATCTGTTTTACAGACTGGAAAACAAAACCTGTGTGAGTTAAGCAGTATGTTCCATTTAACTCAGCTAGTGAATAATACTGTAATTGTAGCTCTTTTCTGCTTGACAATATGGGCTTATAAAGAAATGCAAGGGACCCACCTTTTCTGACTGCAGAATTGGAAGTACTTCCGTCTTATCGGTGCCTCCTTAGACACTAAACATTAGAACAGCAAAAAAGTTCAAGATCATTTAAATCTAAAGCAAAGATCTTGAAGCAGTTCCTGGCATATATAGTAAAGGTTCTACAAATGTTAGTTATATATAGTTTTATAATATCTTTATTTTGGAGATGGGGAAATTAGCCCAGGTAGTAATGCAGTTTGCCCAAGGTCATATAGCTGGTTTGTGTCAGAGATGAAACAACCCAAGAATCTTATTTCCACGTTTAGGATTATTTTCAGTTCACAGTCAACTAGCAGGAGCACTACAAGCATAGCTTTTCACATAATAGTTTTCCCCTTAATTTGTTCTTTCTAGGCCAAAGACAAGGACGAAAGTCTTTTATTTGTAAGAGGTTTTTTTTGTTGTTGTTTTTTGGTTTTTTGAGACAGGGTCTTACTATGTAGCTGAGGCTGACCTGGAACTCACTATGTAGCCCAGGTTGGTCTTGAACTCATAGTGATCCTCCTGCCTCAGCCTCCTGAGTGCTGGGATTACAGGCATGCGCCACCATGCCTGGCTATTTGTAAGGTTTTAATATTTCATTAATCCAAACTGCTTTTTTTTTTTGAGCATTTTATATGCTTGTGTCTTTTCAGGTGCCAAAGCCACAAAGATAAAAAGTACCTACTGGGGTAGAGGTGGGGGGACCTTATAAATCATTAAGTTTGTCTCTTTCATTTTATAAATGAGGGGAATGAGTCCGTAATCTTCCTCTCATGGCCTTGTGTCAAAACCGTTTTATTTCTGCACAGAGAAAGTTTCCTGGAGGCTTCATAGAGTTGTATGTGACTTTTAGGGTCATGGTGTCCTCAGCTAAACCTCATTCCTGTAAACATTTAGTGGAATTAGGAAGTGTTTTTGTGACCTCATCTTTATCTTACATACAATCAGATCCATTGTATTCCGTTTCTGTTTTGAGAATTAGTCTTGTTTTGGCTTTCGGTACTGTTTCTTTCAGATATTTAAGAAAATATTATGGTACTGAATTTATATTCACACATATTAAAATCTAACCCCTAATAGAAGGTATTAGAAATATGCATGAGTTATTTAAATTATATAAAAGTGGTTTGGGAAGTCATATAGGCCTTTCAATTATATATTCACAAATAATAAAATAAGTAACTCTCACCTTTTCTGTGTAAAATATCACTTATCCATAATTAGATAACTATATAACAGGTATCTAAATTATTGTTTAAACATTCCTGAAACACTATGTGAGAAGTTCTGCCCATCAAACGCTGTGACCCCAGAACTCTTTCAACAGACAGTCTGATAGTTCAGCTTCAAGCACACTCCCTGACCACTAGAAGACTGAAAATGTATTTGCGTAATTGCATTTGTAAGCACCCCTGAGCTCTGTTCCCACATCTTTTCCTTGAATCTGTTTTCTTTTTAAATGTAGAAATGCAGCTTTGAAATGTAAGATGTGGGAGGTTACTTTCCTTTCCACAGGCACATTGCAGAGAAAAACCTCGGCCTTTGAGGTCATCCTCCAAGGGGCTGTCTCTTTGGGTATTTGCATGTCTGTGACTTCTCAGAGGAGGAAGCACTCTCCAAGTAGCAAAACATAGCAGAGAAGCACTAGAGATTGGTCATGTGGAGGCCTCTGATTTAAATTCTGGCCTTTTCTTTTGGACAAGTTTTTCACAATTGGTTTCTTCTCTTTAAAGTAGGATGATAAGCATTTTTACTTCATGGAGTGATGATAGAGAAAAAGTGTGTTTAAAGCTTTGAACATTTTGTAGGGGCCTAAATAAGTTACAGTATATAGATAAATAATAGCTCCTATTTTGTCATTATTAATATGGACTTGATACATTAAAATTCACATTTCTTCAAGATTTAACCTTGAGTCACATACCTATTTTTTGAAAGCATTTGCTGTTTGTCTTCTTAGGGTAGCACACTTGACTTTCACATTTAAAATATGAAGTTATCTATCACTTTCCATAACCCTTTTTTTCTTTTTGAGACAGGGTCTCACTGTGTAATTGAGATTGACCTGAACTCATTATGTAGCCCAGGCTGGGCTTGAACTCACAGTGATCCTCCTGCCCCAGCCTCCTGAGTGCTGGGATTACAGGCATGCGCCGCCTCACCTGCCTCCATAACCCATATTGACATTCTCTTTTGTAGGCAGGTAGTGAAGTTTTTGTCTGGGTACTGTAAGCTGAGAGGTCCCTGATCTGTGCTTCCATCTTTATATGAAATCTGGGATTTTAAATGAACCTGCTGTCAGGCCTTCTTTCTACCTCTACAAAGGCTGGGTCATGTCCCAGGCGCCCCAGGGTTACAGTGTGCAGTCCAGGGCGATGGCCATGTGAACACGTCAGTGCTTCCTCCTAATGTTGACAGCTTTAGTAGTCTTCAGGTTACGGTAAGGAGGTGATGCAGGGGACGGAGAAGGAGAAACAGGCATGAGGACTGCGAGACCGAAGAGGAGGGACCTAGGAAAGAGTGGAGCCCTCAGCATCGTAAACACGTCTTTATTCAGCACAGCTCTGCCAGGCCCTGCACCCATGTGCTGGTGATAAAAGCAATGAATGTGGCCGGAGGAGGTGGTGATCATGGTAAGGGGTGGGATATTCTGGGAGTGGAAGAAGGAAGGAAAGGAAGAAGGGGTGAAGGAAGGAGCTGCTGAGATATGGTGAGTGGAAAGCAGTTCCGAGTGTCTGGGATGGACAACTCAGTGGTTGGGGCAGGTGGTGGTGAGATGAGGCTGCAGAGACCAGTACGGGTGGAATTTCCATTGCTTGTATTTTAAGATAATTTTGGACTTCGGGGGCGTTTGGGACATTATTTAGCAGTCTTAAGTGAGGAAATGAAGTTGTGTGTGTGTGTGTGTGTGTGTGTGTGTGTGTGTGTGTGTGTGTGTTAAGCATAGGTAGAGCGTGGACAGTACATTTGTGAGTTGATGTGGAACTCACATCAGTTAGGCCTGTGTGTTGAACATTAATGTGCATATGAATCTCTTGCTGATTTTTTTCCTGAGACTGGGGATTGAGTTCAGAGCCTCTGCCATGCTAGGCAAGTATTCTACCACTGATTTGTATCACCAGCCCTTTTTTAAATTTAAATTTTGAGTTAGGGTCTTGGTCAGTTGCTCAGGCTACTTTGAATTTGTGACCCTTCCACTGAAGCCTCCTGATTAGCTGGGTGGCTGTATCGCTGCCGAGGTTTTCATGTTGATTTTGAAATGTGGATTCTGATTGAGTAGTAACTTTTCTGCTTCTCCTGTTTCCTCGTTTCCCTTCACCGTAAGACAGTCAGGTTAACATGTCCTGAATCCCATGACAGGCAGATAGCTGTATTTCGGAACATGCAGTCACGTCTCTAACGTTGATGGGAAAAATCTGGAATCCTTAAAGTAACATGTTATGTCTGATTATTAAAATGAGAATTTGAGGTACCTTGTCTTTTAATGGGAAATTTATTCCTTCTTTATGTAATGTTAATCTGTTTCGATTGCTTTCCAACCAGCCATTCTTAGTGCTGGCTAAAATTAAATCACCTGGGCTGGTCTCTTCCAGATTGATTAAATCAGATTGAGTAAGGGAAGCCCCAGGTATTTGTATTTTATTTTTTAAGGTTCTCGGGTGATTCTAAAGTGCAGTTAGGACTGAGAGCCACTAACTAATTCTAATAGAACTTTGTGAAGCAGATCAGGTATAATGTAAGCGAT